CATCCGACGCCAGCCGGGGCACTGCAGAGAGTACGCATGTGTGTGTTTGTTTACATCGATTATTTTTCTCCCTAGCCCTCGCTATGATTGGCCTATATCATGCTTCAAGCGCACACACACCACTGTTGAGTGGAGCTCTCTCCGGGGTTAAGATGAGGGGAGAGGTGTGTGTGTGTGTGCGTGTGGTATGATTAATTTGTCTCATTAGTGTCCTCTGAATCCTCCCGATACCGCTCCTCTCCTCCCTTCCCTTCATCTCTCCTCGCTCCATCCCTCCTTATCCCTCGACATCCATCATTTGCTCTTTACCTCCCTCCCATCCTCCTTCACCCCCCACTCTCATCCACATCCTCCTCCCCCCTTCCTCCAGCGTGTCTTCCTCCCCTTTCCTCCTCCGTGTCCTCCTGCCCCTCTTCCATTCATTTCTTCCTCCCCTCCTCCTCTTCCCTATTCTCCATCATCTCCCTTTCTCTCTCTCTCAGCAGTATATCAACCAGTTATAGTTCATACATATTCATAACCTGCACCCCGCCTCCCCCTCAGCGACACCCAGCAGCCAATCGGTGGGCCGGGTTTGTCGTCAGGGTCTGTGGGTGGACACCAGGCCGATGGATGCTCCTTAGAGAGAGGTTCCTGTAAGCATCCTCTCATCTCCCCCTCCTTTCTTCTTTCCTTACATCCTCCCTTCCTCGAGACCCTTTCCCTCAGCTCATTTCTGTCCTTGTGTCTTTATTTCTCCTTTTTCTTTTACCTCCTCTGTTTTCTCCTCTATTTCTTTTCACTTCTCTCCTTTTTTTGCTGAAATGTTTACATCTCTTTTCAGCTTTGTACTTGTAACTATTCCTCTAGTGCTGGGATGGCCTAACTAAACTGAAATGACCCGCATCGAATTTTAAAAAATAAACTAGAATATGGTTTGATCATATTCCTAATAAATGTCACTGTATGTACACTTCACATCCTAGTTAAACACTAGTCAAGATGTCGACTCAGTTAATTATTGTTACGTTTACATTAGCATCTTAATCTATGAAGAGTCCTCAGGCCATGAACAGAAACCCATTTTTGTTTTAATTTGACTTACTTACAGTTTTACACTTAACATCATAATATTTTAAGCATTCAGGCCATGCACTGTATTATAGTTCAAAAGTATTGAATTCATTTCATTTAGATTGCAGCAGGTACAGAAATGCTTTTTGTACTATATGAGAACACCACTAAACATTGTAATGGTGAACTATATTATTCTATATATGGCCCACAATCAAAAAAGGCTCCCTGCTCTTATCTCTCCTGTCTCTAAATATTCTCTCTCCTTCTCAATGTTCTCTCCTCAGTTTTCTGTTTCCTCCTTTATTTTTCTCCCCCGTCGAACAGTCCACACACATCTAAGTCTCATAGAGAAGGAGGTGTGGGGAGCCGTGAAGGAACAAGGGCCACGGAGATATGTTGAAGGAAGGAAGGAGGACAGGAGTGAACAGGACAGAGTGCACCAGGGAGCACCCTTGGGCTCCTCTGTCTATTTTCAGACTCTGTCAGATTAGAAGTTCAGGACATATTTTCAGGTCTTTAATGACTCTGCTGAAGACGCACACTTCTTCTCGGCCTGACAAAGTTGCAGTGGGTAGTGGTGTTCCGTTGTTCCTCCGTAGATCATAAAACAAGTTTATCCGAGCTGCTCTCCACTTTGGGCCCCTGAGACACTTAGAGACGATATCGCAGTTACAGGCGAGTAGCTCAGGGAGCTTAATTCCACTTTATTCTAACGTCTTTGATCCTTGCCGTGTGTGTGTGTGTGTGTGTGTGTGCGCGTGTGTTCTGCTCAGATCTTCTTCTTGTAGCAGCTGTCGACAAGAAGAAGCAAATGTGCAGCTTCTATCACGCTCTTCTGAAAGTGTTCAGAGAGGAGGTTTACTTCTTAAAACAGTCCACATCTTGATCTCTTTAAGTCCAAACAAAACTGCTTTTAGAGCGTCTTCCTTCATGAAACAACAACAAACCAATGCGTTGAGCAGCAGTTTGTCCTTCAGAGGGACAGAAGAGTCAGCAATGGTTTTATTTCATATGATTTTTAACTTCCTACAGCTGCTACACGACAAGTGACGGCCTGATTTACAATCAAGCTTGTCAAAATATAAAATACAAATATTTAGCTCTCCACTTTTCTAAATTAATTGATGAAATAATACAGATATCGTTTAACATTTTATGAAATGCACTTGTTAGAGCTGGACTGATAAGTCGGCCTGGTATCGTTCTAAATAAGTAACAATACATTGTCGTAAACCTAATTAGAAAACAGTGTCACCATTACAGTTTGTCCACAAGTTGGTTTTTACTCGGTGAAATTTTTTTGTTTTTATAAAAGCAACTATTGGTCAAAATATCGTCATTCAATTTCTAAAACTCTGAACCTCTATTCATTATCTGCCTCACAACTCCAGAATGGGTCATGCCTTGTGGTTTTAGACACGTGTTGTGGGGCTTTTTCCAACTGAAACATCGGCTCAGTGCCTCTGTGCAGTGAGTCTGCTCACCTGTGGTTCATCAAGAGATGGTTCCAGCTCACAACTCCCCCTAAAACCTCGACTTTAAAGACGCAACGTGTTCATTTGTGAGCTTTAGGTGTTTCCACCCAGAAGTTCCAGGTCATATTAGTACCAGGATTACTTTTGCAAGGAAGTAAAAGGTTCCTTCAGCCCGTTGTTGTGTAAAGACCTGTGACTACTAACCAATGAAAACAGGACATGGGAAAAGGGCTGCTGGTGGTCGCTGGGTAAACACTCGGTTCAGTGTGTCTGCTCTGTTCCTTTACAAAACAGAAGAGTATACCTGGGTTTTTATTTCACTGCTGCATAGTATTACTGCTGCACGTCTGACGAGATGAATGAAATCCAGAAGAGCGTCTGTCTCCACACTGAACCATCTGTTGAGTGTTTGACACTTATTTATTTATTTGCACTTAAGAACGTAAATGCAGTGAAACAATTTCTCATTCACTGCCGCGCAGTCTCTTTTTTTTTTTTTCTACCGCTCGCTCGTTTCTTCTTTTTTTTTTTATTAAACGAGCCGGTATAGCCGACAGCAAAGCCTAATTTTACTGTTATTGTTATCGAACCAAGAGAAATGCTCTCCCCTCGTCGTAAAATGGTCCTGAATCGATACTAAAGTACTTCCTTTTTTTATGAATGAAGTGATGGTTATCCCTGAAAACTCCACCCTAAAAGTTCTTGTACTTTCAGAGAGTACAAATAAATGTCCCGGAACTTAATTTAGACCCGTGGTCCCTAAGGTCGAAACACAAAAGGTTCCTAGTTCCTAGTCCCCGGTGAATGTTTTTGTGGTCGGATAAGGAGCTTTGTCAAGGGCCGAGCTAGCAGTTTCCCACTGCTTCCAGTCTTTATGCTAAGCTAAGCTAACTACGTTCTGTCTCCAGCTCTATTCTGAACGCAGACATGAGATTCACACCGTTCTTCTCATTTCCCTCTCAGAACAATAGTTCTTATAAAAAGGTGGAACTAATTCTTTAAGAGCCGTCATGATTTGGCTCCTTTAGAAATATTAGCTTACCTTTATGTGTGTTTTAGCCTGTTTTTACTAAAAATTACATATACTTTTTGCGTTTTTTAAATATTTGGCTGCGTCTCATGAGCCTCCCAGTAGGTGTCACTTTACTTAATGCGATGACCGGTGCTCGTCTTTATTTATGTCGGTTACATTGTGGCCTTCAGGTGCTGCTGGGCAGCTTGGACATCCCAAACTTTGGTCATTGTTTGTCTCAACTCTGAAACGTGGAATGTTTGAGCCTCTCGCCAGCATTTAACACACATACATGGAATATTTGACAAATCAAAAGTTTTAGTTGTGGACATCCACGTATAACTTGAATCTCCTCCTCTCCCTATTTCCTTTCTCACTTCCTGTCTCTATCTCAGGCCTTCATCAACACAGCCAAGGAGATCTATGAGAAGATCCAGGAGGGAGTGTTTGATATCAACAATGAGGTGAGATGCACTTTTTTTTTTTTT